TGCAGCAAGTGTCCAGCATACTTAAGGCTTTTCTTCGTCTAGGACATGGGCAAGAGATAGGTGAATAGTCAATCAGGTTGAGATCCCTACACGCAAGATACGGACGCCGAAATTAATTGAAGATTATATATGTAAAAAGAGGCTGCTGTAGTGTTGGATGTTTCTTGGGAACCGTCTTTTCTATAATATAACGTTTAATATTAGTTAGTAAAACCGACAGAGTTAATTGTTTATCAGTCGTACACGCATGAGTAAATACTACACTGTCACTAGGCAAACTTTCGTTTCGGATCAATTACAATAGCAGTGTATGTCCTCGTGTATGTCCTCGGTACGTGCACCTCCGCTGATTTGGAACGGAGCATTTAGTCCCGAGTGATTAGATTTTGAAATTTAACCCATCTGTGAACGTACATCAACGTTTTTTTTTCTCAAAATTAAGGCTCGCTTTGTTTCAGTAATGGCCGCACTGGAGTTTTGAGCCGCCGAATTGACACACAGCCGCTTAATTACATATTTTCTCGTGACCTATAAAGCGTTCATTTAAAATAGATAATTCGTTAAATGCGTACTAAGGATATGGTTATAATAGTAAATAAAAAGGCACCAATAATAATAACAACAACTTAAGCTTAACTAGTAATATTAGGGTTTGTTGATTTTCAATAGATTTTTGCTACATTCGTCGTGAATAATTTCAGATCAGTCCTTCCGATCTCGTATATTTAATAGCCTGTTGTGTAGATTCACGAAGTTCTAGTGAATTTGTTGATACACAGAATACGCATTGGCATCGGCCGGCATACGGGCAAGTAGAGAAAGCAAAGATATCGAAAAGAGCTTAAATTAAAAGCGCGCAACACGTTATGGCTAAGCATCCCTCTTGGTTTGCTGGGTACTGAATAACACTAATAAAAAATTTCGCTTTTAATGAGCTTAACAGCGTCAGCGAATTCTTGAGGCGGTCTAAAAAAAAATTCTGGGAAGCTTGTTTTCAGATAAAGGCGGGGGTCCAAAGGTTTCAGACAGCGGGGATTCTTCATGAAGATAGTTTGCGTGAACCAAAAAGAACCGAAGTTGAAACTTGTTCTTCTGAATTGGGCAAGAACACTCAGCGGCACAGTATATGTCAGCTTGCACACATCTGAATCATGACCCATTTATGCAGATGTACTGGTGTCGTATATTCGAGAAACGGTGTCAAATGTAAAAGTACCGGTAATCGACCTTGTTGCTTTACACCATTACATTGCATAACTAACTTATGGTTGTATTCCATTTACTCATGCTTGATAGTCAGTTTAAGGCTCTAAGATATATTTAGAGAAATAAACTGACTTTGTGCATGAAGAACAGAAGGCTTATTACATACGTGTGGAAAAAACTATTATTATAACTATTAGGCTAGACGAATGCTAAGGGCACGTACCAGATTAAGTGTCTTATGAGCTCTACCTCTCTTTCTCTCTGTCGCGCTTTTTTTTTTTTTATAGATATATACATATAGAAAGAGTGAGAATGTAATTCTGGTTGTCAATGGGTGCTGCGGTAAGTGAAATAAACATTTATTTGGTTACAAGGGCTGCGATTGGTTGTTGAAGCTTAACAGTGGTTACGTTTGTCTCGCATCGCATGGTTTCGAGGTGACTGTTTAAAGATAGAGGTAAGCTGCAAAACAATCACTTAAGTATAGAAAAGCCGATTCCAACATGGTTACTGCTTGAGAAGGCCGCACTATTGCTATGACGAGAAATACGAATAGGCTGTCGCTTATTGCCAAGCAAAACGCTGTCTGCGTAGTCCAGGGCTCTACGCTCAGTACAGGACGTTCAGGATCTATATACGACATGGACGATTCGTATTTTTCCCAGTTAGAGCAAATATCGCTTGATGAGGCACTGACAGGAAAACAAGAGTACGACCGACTAGAAGATGCAGTTTCTATTGGAGAACGCACGGTACTCGGCTATGCGATCAGGCATAAGGCACAGTTATGACGTCCGTTGGAAAAATAACAAGACCTGTCGTGTACCAATTAGATTCCGCCAAACGTCTGGTAGATGTTTCCTAAGTCAAGATGATTACGCGAAGCGTGTGATATTTTTACTTCATCTCACTCTCTGACAATATACTGCGCAGGCCACACGCCTAATGATCTGCGATTGCTATGCCTTGAGTTAAAAATTTTGTTCACCGCCCCCAGAAAAGAGCTCGTGAGCAAAATTATTTTTAGTGCAAGCCTGTTTCCGCAAGCTATGTGCCTACCTTTCATTCCCTTTCAAAGCTACAAGGAAAGCCTTTGTAGCTACGCAAACTGGAAGTGCCATATTAACCTACATAGATCCTAGCGCACTTGGCATATCGCTTTCGTTAAGCACAAAGTTTGACAATTTCATTTTATGAATATACGTCCTTTGTAGATGTCTACCATAAATGAATGTTTTATTATGTGACCAATCATAATCTGTCACTCTGGTGCGGTCGATATCTCGTATGGTAAGCAATTTTACCGTAAATAAGAAGTCCTTATAATCTCGGCACTTGTGGGATAGTATAGCAAATTGTGCAAAAGCCTATGCCGTATTCATCATAACCCATGTCCAAAACTAACTCAACAATATTTTCAACTGTAACCACGTCAAACGCCATATGTAGACTCTATGTTTGATAAGGAAATGACAAGATCCGACAAAGTAATTATCCTAGCAGTAAAAGTACAATGATAGAATTATACATGTATATTATATAAGCCAGCAAAGGGCGCGGCATCATCGTCTGGGTTTTTAGGCACAAAGCACGCGCATTATCTATCATCTCGTTGAGTCAATCACGACGAAACATAAATGTTTAGCATCATCAAAAACCCATTATTAGTGTTAAATCAGGACGCGGATTGCATGCACTGGCTTCCTAAAGGTGAGTACAGAAAAACTATCGATTCGTAGCGAATCTCAAGCACCTTTCAAGACATTGTCGTTAAAGCTAACCCTGCGGTCTGAAGTTGGAGACTACCGGTTCCAGTTGATTATCTAGACATAGCGCATTGGCTTATAATATACCACAAGAAAAATTAAGTCATATTCAAGCCTCATACAATCTCATAGTAACATGGCGTTGTTAGCCGCGTAATCGCATAGTCCTAGAGTCCGTCGAAAAATTGTCGGTCCACTCAGCATTTCAGGTTATTTATACGCATGTGGCTGCTCGTTGGTGATCCGATCAGAACGTCTTACGTTCTCGTATGTGTTAGACCACTGCGTACACAAACACTCGCCTTAATACTCGCTCTGTGCGGCATTGTACGACTATAAGAATCAACGAGGCGCGGCCAGCCGACTTCGCACGACTGCTTCATGCTTCTGCTATAGCCTCTTCCTTTTTCTGTTCTTAGTTATAAATCTAGCCCGTTGCCACGTAACGAAGAAAAACAATGAGGTCTGCTGGCTGAACGAACGACCGTGTTCGACCATCGTCCAACGAGTTTTTTTATGACCTTCTACCGAATAAATTGAACCGCAGCATTAGGAAATCGTTGTGCTATGAAAGGATAATACTACGCCGTTGAAAGGGGTGTAAAACCTTGTCGCCATTGTGGGTCCTAAACAGGTTGGTAAGGAAGCCCTGTACCTTTATACATTAATCAGGTAGCTCAAGAATCCAAAAAAATTCTTGGTAATTGAACTTTTCAGAGTTGGATTAGACCATCGAATTTTGACATCGCTTCCGATACGTTTATGGCTATGATGTAATAATAAGAGCCTGACGGGCTGCAAATGGCAGGCGTTCTACGAAACGTCTTCTTCTTGCAGTAGGGCAGGCCTGTATAATCGAAAGCTTTGGAGACAAGAGTAGCCGTGTACATATACAAGGTTCGCCCAATTCTAGAGCGTGTGATGCAAAACGAGCCGTTTGCATTTAGATGTCTAAATTGGTCCTCCTAATATCTTCTCGTTTTGTCATGATAAAAAGACTCGCAAGTCCTTAAAGGGCCATAGGCAACATTTTTCAACTAGCATAGTTCCACATAATGCGATTCATCTCTGACACTTTTTTGTCAGTACAGCAAACAAAAGAGCGGCGTTTGAACAAAGGTGGCTTTTAGTTAGACAAGAGGAAATCTGAAATCAGGCACTGCACCATCGAGTTACAGTTTCGATCCTGTATCTGACAAACAAATTGCTATTATGAAAACATATCACAGACCTTTAGGTTGGCATGCGCGCTTGTACGTATCGTTTAAGTTTACACCTTACTTCCTAGGAGGAAGACAGACTGTTGTGCGACGCGATAAGTAAAGAAACAAAATCTGTGTAATGGCTGCAGGAACGTATTGTAAAGGTAATTACGATCTGATAAAGCCCTTTTTATATTTTTCTGTGAAGTGCAATAAACTAACAAGTCTAGACTGAGATATTCTCAGTCTAGACTTGTTAGTTATCTCGATTTTTTGTTCTATCTACGTATACGGGAAATGGCTGTCACCGTAGCAGAATAAGCGAGGCGGCGAGCTTACAACTATGATATTTTTGGATTGCTATTTCTCTAACTAAGCACTTTACCTAACTTACCGATTTAATAATTAAAATCGTTGACGGTTCTTAGCTAACGTCAGGCGTCATATATCACGCTATATTCTAACTGAGTGTTACGTTACCGGCAGCGGTTACGCGTCTGACTATTTTTTGTTGGTAACTAACGGATGACTAACTTTTTTATGGTGATTGGTGAATTGACAAAATGACTGTTGGAAGACATTTGTCGAACAAATTTTTTTGGGGAAGTTGTCGGCATATATATATATATATATATATCTACGATTCAATTTATCTGTGTAATTATCTACGATATGCTTTGAAAGCGATAGTTTACCTTGGTTAATGAAGTCGGCTGAAAAAACGTTCTGTGCGTTACGTACCCTTTTAGTACAAGTCATAGGTGTCAGCCTCAGTGTACAGACTATAATATGTAAAATGAACACACGGAACCAAATAAATCGCAAATAGTTATATTTTTCATAACATGTACAGCAGTTTATGGTTGGATCACAATGTACAGCATTTTGACTCGAGATTTAGAAAATAACATTTACACTATTATATTACAATTAATTACAGTATTCAGATATATATATATCAAGAGGGTGGTGGTCTTGCGTTCGCTTTTTCAGCATTTCGGTCTGTGTGTCTGTATCTGTAATTCGTCATCGTCTTGGTTCAATATAATCGTTCTCTTAGAATTTTATACCAGTAATCAGCTAAAATGATTGCATCTTGTCTAATTTTTTTTGCATGCACATTTTCTATGGTTTCAGCTGAGTTATGTAGTGATCAATCTATAGCAGTAATTCCAGTGTCGGGATATCCATGCGTAGTATCGCCATGTTGCCTATCGCTACCATTCTCGCGATAATCGAAATCGATTTACTATCAGTATCTATTCAAGTTGATTCTAGGAAGGAACTTGAATATGTTCAGACCGTTATATTATTTTCCATTATATTCACTAATACCACAAAATGTGTGCATGCTTCTATATTTTGTTTATATGCACGGTACTAGGGGAAAACTCAACAACGCCAACAATATCACACGTATAATTATACTAATTATAATCATATGTTTAATTCATCGCCACGAAATACATCATCATCGTTTTACGATGTGTATATAAATCGATTACGAATTTTTTATTTAGCATTCATTTTTTTTTCGTTGTGTTTCTTGCCTTTTACGGTCGCAGTAGTCCCTTCCAACCAGGCCTTGCAAATTAGGTTTTTTTTTTTCTTATGTTTCTAGTATAAGCTTAGCTTTTACCTGGATTTCCGGTTGCAATCGTATAGCCTTAGAGGTTCAGTTTGTGTTGTATTCTTAAATCTCGTCCGCCCAGGTTATTGTGAGAGGATACGATTTACCCAGTCGTGCCGTTGCCGACACTGCGTATACTGCTTCTGGCATCCGCCTATTTTCTAGATGTATTTTCCCAGCTTCTTCTCTCTGACTCTGTTTAATCTCAGCTCAAATGATCAGAATTGTTGTCATTCACAGAACAAAATCATGCTATTATCTACCTGTGTTTTGTATTTTTTTATCCACAATATTTTTAGCCTTTTTCTAGATTTCGCACTTCGTCTGAAACGATCCTCGCACTCGCACAGTCTCTCGTCTACAGACTGTCAAACATTTGCCCTTGATCATACTCAACCTTTCACTTTGTTTTTGCTTTACGCGCGCTCAGACATTGAAACATTTTATTGATCTATTTGAACTTTAAAGATTTAGAAGGAATTTTATTTACACTTGTAATATACAAAAGGGCTCGTTTTTCCCAGTCTCTCTATCTATATATGTAATATTATTTATGCTGCCTGTACATATCCGCTTGTATTTTCGTTCCAGCCAGTTAGTTAGCTACTTGGATGACGACGTATCGTTTGCGTGGTGCAACAGCATTCAGCGACAGCACTCCAAGGAGTTAACGCCAACGGGCAATGAAGTAAAAACTACAAGTACGACAGTATGCTGGATAGGGGAAGAGTATATAGGAAGAGAAGAGACTGATGCCATATCTATGTGCGATATTAGCGCGGCAATTATTACGGAGTCATTGTCCACACACATTTAGAACACGAACGATATTCTATCACCGTTATTACTGAGGTAGATTGAACCGATTTACCAACGCGTCAACGGCCTCTGCGCAGCTTTTGCCTTAATCCAAAAGACGACATAACAACGATAGGGTGTTTGAGTGACACCCGATGCGAACCTTCCCCTTTATGAGGCACATGCTAATGGAACTCTGACATGCCAATGAAACCGACGTCCTTCGCCCTACACGGATCTGGGACTTTTTAGACAGAAAGGACAAAATCAATCGAGAAGGTTAGCGTGCCGTGAGTAAAGGGACCTTAGGTAGCGGGCCCGTAAAACCAAAAGACACAAAAACGAAATGCGCTTATAACCGGTAAAAGGAGATAGCAAAATGCAGTCAGCATTGTCGCGTCTACTATATCTTATCACAATAATGAGGCAAGTGCTTTGACCGTACGCCCACTTGCATAAAAACTTATTTTACGAGCTCTCCAGGGACTGTATCAGGCCTGTCACATTAATAATGCAATGATCAGCACCCTGAAAAGAGGGTATTTGCGTTAGGGGACAGACAATTGGAAGAGAATTTAGGCTTTAACCTCGATCTAGTTTTCATGCTTCCAGCTTACGTGGCAATTTTAATAGATTGTTTCCGCTAACGCAACAGTATTGACGACCATAAGAAAGAAAATAATTGCTACTATAGTCTAGGGAAGCCTTACGCATATACAAGAAAATATTTGCAAAGTTTGGCTTAAACGCGTGAAGTTAATAGCTTCAAGTAATCCACACCTTGATGCATGTGCTGCATGATCTGATTGCGAAGCGTACATGCGCATATTATGCGTTCAAAGTTGATTATGCATGCCACCGCGAAAAAAATAAAGGGGAATCCGTTTATGTATTGTTGTTACCCAGACTTTTGGGTTTCAGCTAAGCGCTGCGCACAAATTCAACGTTGTCGCGATTGGCGTCTCCTCTTTTCATAAATAACTCACTGAAGATTAAGCTTAATTTACGATCAAAATCACAGTTCTGTTATGCTACTTTTTTTTATACAATAGCATATGGGGGCTGATTGAGAATGGGTAGTTGACGAGGGGAATGGCTTCACTCGATCGCTAGTTCGGAATTGAACCCTGTCGGGTTTCGCTTTAGCTAATGGACTGGAAGATATAACGGTCGCATGAGACGGTCGAGAGGTCATAAGACGCACAAACAGGACTGCAGAATGATCAACGTGTTTTTAAGAAAGGAACTAAGCACTTGTTTACAAGAAGCCAGGAAATTAGTTGCAGCTCGCATTTTCACTATTCATATATATAGAGATTTGTAATTTAATGTTAATTACTGGATAGTGTTATCGTGATTCATAGACCGAAGCGGTAACGAATGACGAATCAATATGGGAATTCAGCTCCTATTCCGGTTAGCTTGTTCAAAAAGGAGACTCAATCAACAACTGCGTTCGAAATGGTGTGGTGACTATTTTCGTTTCCTTCTTCCCTTTTTCTCTGCCTCAGTTTATACGTTCGGTATTGTATTTTTTTCCTTACTTTGTTTACTAAAGCCATCGGAGTTATTGTCGGAAAGACAGTTAGTCTTCCAGTATATGTATATAAATATATGTATACATGTATAGTGTTAATTTGACAGAAGGTAATTTGAATTAAACTATAGATTTTGCTCCGTGTCAGCTATTTTCCGTGATATGAACTGTTTATCTACCCCAAATAGGTAGACGACGTATAGTTTACATACGTAGAGTTTTTGTGCGACCGAGTTTATGTCCGGCGCCACAGTTTGTTTACTTTTTTGACCTATTATATCTATTTTGTTGGCCTATTCCCAGCTTTTCATGTGAAGGGAAATATTACTTTTCTGTCATTCCTCTGCCTAATTCCCAGTGAGGATCGGAAATTGAAACAAGCCTCACCGGAAAAATGGCAGCAAATCCTGTCAGGGAGGCTGAGACTTTCTTTAACGCTAGTGCAATGTTCATGCAAATCAGATCTCGAGGACATACGTTTCTGTAGTGACCTATACTTTTAGAAGTGTTTCATTGCAGCGAACTGGGGGAGAAAAATTTCCATTGCCCCGTATTATATACGCGGCCTGTGTTTGTCTGACTATCTGTGTCTCCAAGACGTATGTCTTTGTGATGATACGATCGATGACAATAACATTTTTATTACGTTATTATTTTCTTATCATTATCAGCGTTCTCTGGTTGTTGTTTTCCATTGTGTTACTATTTTTATTGTTGTCGTTAATATTATACAGTGGATTCTATGCCGCTGTTAGCTTCGGTAGCCAAACTGGGGTCGATGTCTCCGACGGTTGGGTACGTCGAGTGGTCCTCTGTGGCAGCGAAGAGATGCTGCCCGGGCACTGGCCGTAGCGTCCGGTGAAAATCAATTCGGGCGAACTCGGTTGGTGGGACTTTCCCTCCACTACCGGCCGTGTGCCCCCGACGTCCGAGCGTCCCGCCGACAGGGGGCAACGGCTGTGTAGGGGCCACTGGAGGCCCAAGCGGGTCGGGGTGGCCTGGAGGTGAAAGAGCAACGACGCTCCGGGCAAACACTAACTCCGAATAATCCGCTGTTACACTACTCGCCTGAGACGGATCAACAGTTGTTCCCAAACCGCTGTTGCCCAGTAATATGTCTTGGGCCTATGTTGTAGGGAAAAATTGACCAGAGATGGAAAAAGGGGAAAAGAACGGTATAAGAGAGATCAAATAATAATTAATCAAGAAGAATAAGTACCAAATAATAAAAACAACGACCGTAAAAAAATGACAACAATGATAATGTAATTTAACATTCAGGTTACTATTTAAGTCTTATTTAGGCAAAACGGATTACTGAATATTCAAATATCTTTTTGAGTTACTTGGAATTGTAAAAGAATAAAAAGCAGTGACCCACAACAGTTCAGTTTTTAACCTAGCTATATAGTAACTTGATTAGCATTGTTACACCAGGACAAGTAACTCATCTAGTTCATAATTGAGTTCATTTATATAAAAGGTATTATACCAAGAGTTTTGAATGAGATCAGCAAACTTACCAATTGTGTGGTCAAAATGGCCTGGCTAGAGTCTACCCCTTCTGACCGGCCAGCTAGTAACGTTGAGTACCGCGAATCTACCTGTAGACCCTTTCCGGACCGCTCCAGATTTACATAGTCTTGAATTTAAATAATAACAGCAAAGCCAGTCGTAAAAAAATTCTTATTTTTTTATCTATGTGATCATATGTATTTACCTATGACGAGTTATGTCTAATGCATCCACGATTTCCTATTAGTCTAACAAGCGTTACTCAAATACACATAGCTTCAGAGTGCAGCTGCTAACTGCCCCAGGGTTTTCACTCATCTCTGATACGTTGATCGAAGCCAATTTAGCATGAAATGGAACTATAACAATAGGAAAAATTAGGCGCTTTTTAGTAAAAACAAGCTTTTAATCTAGATATTTTGCCTGGCCCAATTAATCTTCAGAACTAGCTTTCGCCGGTGAGAACCACTCTTGTATGTAGGCCTCAAAAGAACTCAAAGGCGCTGAAACCCTAAAAGATCACTTAGCCTTAAAGCAATTTTTAAAAACGTCAGTGCATAGCTTGGAATGGACAGTGCGGTTATATAGGCACGGAGCTGTACGGGCCTCTACGTTTTTTAACCATTACAGATATGACTACGATTAAGCTGACAGCGTACGCTAGTCAGATATTTGGTGCAATTGAGGCCGTAAACATTTTTCGAACTTAGTTTAAAGGCCAAAAATTTATCGAGCGATCGTTCACCTATAAAGAACAAAAAAATATGTTTCCACCAGGGTTACCCCCGTTGCAGAGATACATGTCCCGTAACCAACTAAAGTCATAGCGAGTATTTCTAAAGGAATTGCATCGTGCTATGTTAAATAACCAGCCTAAAGATACGGTAGTCACTGCGTTTCGCGCATACATGAAACACATATATAGTACATATATGGAGCATGCGTATATAAGCCATGCTAAAATTAACTATGTTCATAATTGTTCTACTACATGCCCTAAATTGTTTCTAAAAGTAATTGTTATAACCGCATTATTATAGCGCATTTAAGAACTAGCCATAAAGGCGTATACAAGGTAGGATAATCATGATCATAAGTAATTCTCTTCACGTCGTCAAGCAGGTTTCAAGGAATACTATGCATATCGTCACAGTTTTTTTTTAATTCCTTGAGTAAAATACAACTTCTGGATTTGGGACGTTCAAAACACAGTTTCACGTGATCTAGTAGAACTTTATGAAGGTCTAGGCTGGACTACTCATAACTCTCGAAGTAACTATCTTGGCATAAAATTACTATGAAGCATCGTCCTTTCTAGCCGAGATAATAGGTTAACTTGGAAAAACAAAAATTCGTCCTTTAGGGAGATTGAATAACGGATTTGTTAGCATAAAACCATTAGTATCCTATAAGGACTCAGTCCTAGTTCATATAACTCTACATTGCGGTACTACACGGGATAATATCGTAAGTGCCTTTCCATGGTTTATGCCGGTGAATCTCCTATTCTCTCTTGTTGTTCTTAACGGTAGAGTTAAGTGAATTTTGCTCGATATTAGCTTTTATTGTATTAGTTGTTTACACCTGTACTCACACAACTGTAACTGAGTTCCAAGTATAACACATCACGTTTCATAAAGTTATCACTGGAAGACTATTACACTTCATGCTTAGTTCGAAAGTGATTCATACGCAGCAGTTTCTTATAAGCAATAACAAAAAACACGAACAGCCAGCATAGGAAAACTAAGCAAAAATCAACATTCTATGACCTTTCTTTGCTTTATGCTTCAAGGTCTATAGCTAGGAAAGTCAAACAGCTAGTTCTTATTTGCTGAACCTGTCGTTGTCACCTTATAGGCTTAGTAGTAATGCTAGTATTCATAAGTAGTTAATCAGAGCGAATGCCATGAATTATTGTGCATCCTAGCTAACACATGATACGACCGAAAATTAGCATGTAGGCATCAGTCACTACAGGCAAAGGCGCCCCCAACAGCTGCGCGTGTCTAGTCGACAAGGAGATGCTTGCTACCAACTAATCTGTGCTATGTGCAGTTAAAGTGACTAAACCTAAAGCAGGCCAGGAAGCCAGGTAGTGAAGGATACTAAAAGCGGAAGCTCAACATACGGCAGTTGTTACCTGAGAGGCCCTTCTTACTGAGGGTCGCCGTGGGATCTCCTCTTATGGGAATAATGTCTGGCCCTTTGCAATCTAATTCGAGTTCCTCGCCCATCGCAAGAGGGTCCTTCTTCAATAGAACGGCTAACGGCTTCTCATCTGGTCCACCACCTACGCTGTCCTTTTCATTGGTGTGTGTTGATACTGAAATTATAGATATTCACAAGAATGCGCATTACGTAGTTGCGGAAATATTATTAAGCATATATTATGCAGGACTTGCGACAAATGTTTAAACAGTATAAGCGCACTCTTTCGACGGTTGTACCTGCTTACGTTAAGAATGACCCTTGAAACAAAAGGATCTGATACAATGATTGGAAACAGAGCACGAAAGCAGCAGGCAAACCAGTACGTTGGCATACGAAGCCCAAGAAAACATGTTGACTTTGCACGCAACAAGGCTTTAGTGGCGATGGTCGTTAAATCTGGATTGTTATGCTACAATGGCCGTTTTTTTCCTTCTTTCAGGGCGCGGCCAGCAGCTCGTATTCTCTAAGACCATTCTCTAATTGCTTCATTTTTTAACATTCTGTCTTCTCTCTGCTATGCTAGCCTCATCGCGTCTCGCAGACGATCCCAGCAGATCGGAAATCACGTTGCGCATTCTCCCGTATGATTATTTCAGGACCGAACATCATGAGCGCACGATCCAAGGGTACTCACTTTGCAATGGAACTACCATTTAATTGGCTCTAGTTTTCTATGATTTCTCTTCTAAATCAAATCCTAACGCTAATCGAGCCTTTAGTAAAATGCGTACTTTAGGCTACCACACATGCTCATACCAAGCAGGCGTTGCGAGGGCCATAATTCGAGAAGGCTATAGGACTCTTTGGCTGTATGGCAAAGCCACTATCTAGAATAAAGTGAATAAAGCTTCCCGTTTCTATTCAAAGTACGGGTTGCCAGTATGGTGGCTTGCCGATGTATCTTCAGAGGCTATTAATAATATCGCCACACGGAGAAGATCTAGCATAATAAGCTTTTAGGCGTAAGGTACTGGATGACATAGGATAATACAGTTAATTGAACAATTTTTTCTCGAAAATCTCTTTAGAGAGCTCAGTATTCCTGTTAACATAATAAATTTGGCAGCGAAGATGGCGGATTTTGTCCGCAGCATGGAAGGTCTGCACACCACTATTTCGATATAAGAGCATATCCTGATAAGAATGTTTCAAACAGATAGGCTGAACAAAGAAGTACCATAGAATACTCTGCCGATGGATCATCTCTTGTTAAGATAACGCTTACGTTAGAAAATCAACGCCACTAAAGGGTCTACGATCCACACCTGACCAAGAATGCCCCACAGCATCAAATGTGACTCGATATCCCAACGTTATTGATCCCAATGTATTGATGAGAAAAGGTAATCATTTTGTAAGGGAAGTAAGAGAACAGTTATACGTTTAATGTAGATTATCTTGTAGTTTACGTACACACAAATGAAAATTGAAGTTATAACCATTCAAACTACATAATATTCTTTCTTCAGGAACATACTTTATTCGCACCGTTGATTTCTTCTGTTCGTGAAGTGCCAAAGAGCTAGATATAAAATATATAAACAAATGGTCATGCCCAACGCAGATGTGAACAATGAGCATTTATAATAATAATAATAATAATAGAAGAGTCGTTTATCGGAGTGGCTGCGATCGATGGCCAACTAAAAAGATATCGAAGAACAAAGAGACAGAGTGAGCTATGTTTTGTTTATCTGAGCAATACGCAACTGTTCCCGGAAACAACAACCTTTAATATGCCGCTACTAGTATAAACGCTGTACGAGGATGCAAGTTATAATTAGGTACGTGACTGACTTACATTTACTCTGTCGACTGCTACTGTTAGCGCGACATCGAAGTGCTACCACAAGGCCCACAGCGGCTACGGTCAGTGTAATCACCACTCCGACGATGATGCCGATTAGCGGGCGGACCGCAAGAATCATAGTGGAGCCATCCGCTGAAGACGTCGCAAATAAAGGATACAAACATACCGCCTCGTGATTCCGCTTGTCGGACGACATTTAGAATACTGATCTTGTATTATCTAATCTATTGTACTATTCCGTAGGTTGACGTTCATAGAGCATTACCTACTTTGATGCAGACCTACGTCTGCATCAAAATCTATGTATACACGATGTTGACATTACACAAAGCTCAAAACGATCGGAGGAGAGGGGAAATCGTACTGGCACAGAAGTCCCTACAAACAAATCAGAGCCATCAAGGTAGCCGCAAGAAGCTATCTATTTTTGATAATTGTAAATAAAATAATCGATTTTTGAGACGTGATGCTCTCCTTAACATTACTGCAAACGGGTCATAATGACGACTTGCTCGATTATGGGTAGCGGTAAGCATGTGCTGTACTCTGGGTCGTCGAGCCGGTCATGTCAAGAAAATTAACTGATTTCTTAGAGTAAAAGATTGTTCTAAAACTTCACAAAGCTAACGGTGTAGACAATCGTATATCGTAAACTTTAACCTCCAAAAGAGTTTCGCTTGTACGCACTGCACTTTGAGTGTCGCAGAGAGGGACCATGATAAAATTACTACGATGCGAGTATAACTCCATCATGATAGTTCTTAGGTAAATGTTGGAAAATTCAATCTTTAGGTACTGAACATACGCGGCTATCTACTGTAATATTCTGCATCTTCATAAAATGCTTAAGCGCAAAAATTAATAGACGCGTATACTTTGAAGTTATGTATGTGTAGTAAAGAACATCATTCTGTATTGGGACATATCACACTTGTGTGATTTAGGCTGTGCATACGCTCTGAATCGTTATGAGTAAAGAAAGCCTTTAGCTGGATGTTGCAGTTGTTAAAGTATTGAGCTTGAATCAAGGCGTTTCCTGTGGACCGGAGGAACGGGGGGGGAATACCCTATTTGACTTTTTTTGTCGGCTTGTTCCTCGATGACAATCGTGTTATATCCCTATTATGTGGTTACAGTGATACGATCGCTGGGGGAGGGATGCACTTATGTTAGAGTTAGCTCCAGTTTCATTGAAGATTGTCT